GTGTGTGTGTGTGTGGGTGTGTGTGCGCGCGCGCGCGCGCGCGCGTGTGTTATGCACAAATGAGCTTTCACTCCAAAGCCTGCTCCATAATCCTACAAACTACGAAAGAGGGGACTCTCCTGGTCTAGAGGTACGGTGTTCTCCTTTCAGTCAATAGGTCCCAGGTTCGAAACCTGGCAGCGACGGAAAATTTTCTTCTCCAAAGTTTTTTCTTTTCGCTTCGTTTGTAATCATGTTCTGTAATCTGCTTTCACCTCCACTTTCTGCCCTCTCCTCCGGGCTCGTGACTTCTACTATTCTTGGCTTCTTCTTTCGGCTGTTTCTCATGACTTTCATCTACACCCTTGACTTTAGGGTAGGTAAGATCGACCACCTAGCCTTCTCAGATACGGAGAAAAGATCTCGGAGGTCCCATGTGAAAGATGTGTTCGTTAAAGATCCTTGGTCGTTTTTAAATCGATAATAGTTGGCTTTTGCAGCCTCCTATGCAAAATTCAAAATTGATTCCTACCAAACTGAAAATGTTTAAAGTTAATGTATCCGGCGCGCTCATAATAATATATGATCTAATGCAACTGCAAGCACCGTAAAACACTTACCAATTTTTTTTAAAGACTACAAAAGAGCTAGAGATAGTCTGGGGCAGGGATGGGCAAGCATCTGCAAGTCAAGGATCCGATTAAGCAATTCTGAGCACCTCGCACGCCAACGCAAGAGACAAGAGGGTAAAATAAAAAGAGGTACATGAACTAGAACTACTGGCATTCTAGCATGTTTCTTAAGGGAGATTCCGGAGATAAACTTAATATGATAAGATCTATAGCTTAAATGGGAGATCAAAACTGACAGCAAATCGTAAGCTCAGTACGAGTATACCACTCACGGGAGTTTCATGAGAGAATATGCTCGACAAATTGATCTATTGTTTCCACTGGACCCGAAACTATTGATTTTGATTTTCAACACAGAGTTCCGTTGAACTGCTATTAACTATCAACTCAACACGGGCTATATTCTTTATTAATTTCTGGGTCGACCCACGCGCCAGACCGAAGACACTCATGGGCCGGATCTGGTTCGTAGGGCGTAGTTTGCCCATGCATTGTCTAAGACCTTGCTTTTTGCAGTCTATAATATAGAAGGCAGTTGCCTGGCAGAGGAGGGATGGATTTGTGGAACTTTTTTAAAAGTAGGTGTTTTTCACACCCATCGACACATGTTAAATAATTCAAAAGACGGGCTTCCGACCCTGCATGCAAGGACCAACCCCAGCTGAGAGAGATATAACATCCCAACAGAAAGATCGACATAAACTAGATCTAAACTTTCCCCCACTCGGGACTCGAACTCGGGTCTCCTGTATGTGACAGCGAAGCACCTAACCGCTACACCACAGACGCTCGTTGGAACTTTCTGACGTTTATGATGTGGTATCAACTGAGCCAAAGGTTCAGCTATAATAAAATTATCTTAAAGCAATCAACTTGCAAGCCTCATACACTTATACAACAACAAAAACAACAACAACAAAAGCAACAACAACAACAACAACAACAACAACAACAACAACAACAACAGCAAGTTTTTACTTCTGTCAGTTGCTCGAAATTTTAGTGGTAAAAAAAAGTGTACGCTGATATCACTACCGGTAAAACATCGATACATGTGTGTAATAGTAATATGAATGAGAACCACTTTCTGAGGATAGGAAGGTAAAGAAAAGTAGTTTTAAAAATTCCGGACTTACGCGTTTGGAGAACTATGCCAACGATATACATCCTCAATTTAAAAACAACAACAACAACAACAACAACAACAAACAAACCAAAAACATTTTGAAAAACAACAAACAAGCAAATAAACAAACAGAAAACCCATCATCCTCTTTGATCATGGTGCCGCTTCCGAAATCGTTAACTTTGTAACTTTTCTTTGTGGTACATAATTTAATTGTTTTTACGAATTTGCACACGTACCTCGAATCTATGTTCGGTTTTGTCATCCCATCCCAATTTCGAGATCACTATTCTGCGTTGTGTCGCGAATGAGGAGCCGATAATATGTGTGTG